TTTTTTTTTTTGCAGTTTTTATCTGGGGCTGGGTTTGAACCCGCTACCTCTGGCACATGGGGCCGGCGCCCTACTTCTTTGAGCCACAGGTGCCTCCTAGGCCTATTCACTTTTATGATCTATGGCTTTAAATGATGTTTTTTGTTTTGAAAGTGTTCTTATGTTTATTTAGCTTATATATGCTCATTAAAGAAAACTTAGAACATAAAGATGGGTAGAAAGAAGAAAATTCGAGATCTATGTGGATATCAATCAACTTCTGAGTTTTCTTAAACGTTTAATGGCTATTTTGTATTCTATAGTATATATTGTAGCAGTATGCACTTGACATGTGAGCACAGAGCTGTAGAAAAGAGGACAAGATTGCCATTAGACACATCTGGTTTGAAAATACAGGTCTACTTTGTGGCTTTGAAAAAAATCCTCTAGGATATCTGAGAGTTCATATATTTTCAACTTGAATGTGGGTATAAAATCTCCTTTTTGCATGATTGTGAGAACTAGGGCTAATACTATGTATGTAAGAAGTATACAGCCTGCATGCAGCTCTGTACCATGGCTTATACCTGAAATCCTAACACTTTGGGAGACAAAGGCAGGAAGATTACTTGAGGTCAGATGCTTGAGACCAACCTGGGCTAAGTGACAAGACCCCATCACTACATAAAATTTAAAATATTAGTTGGACATGATGTCATGCACCTATAGTCCTAGCTTTACAGGAGGCTGAGGTAGGAGATCATTTGAGTGCCGGAGTTCCCGGCTGCATTGAGCTATAATGGAACCACTGTACTCCAGCCTGGATGACAGAGCAAGACCCTGTCTTTAAAAAACAAAAGCAAAACTCAGCTGTTGCCAAGTAAAGTATGAGTAAGAAGAGGAGAAAGCAGCGCAGCACCATAGATATTAAATGATAGCAATTAATTTTCATTAACTATTCCCATAATTTCAGACATGGTGGTTCTAATGATTTCCTGTGGTAAACTTCAGTGGGTGCTTTTCTCTTACATTAATCATTTTTATAGTAGGTAAGTTATTTATCTCTCTTTGTTAGGTTATCATGTAGTTTTGGTTCTTTTTCCAAACAGTATAGAATTTGGAAGTCAGTTCTATTGCCTAAGCCACTATTCCACGTTATGTGAATCACTGCTGCAGTTACATTCAAATGTTGATTGTATTAGTTTGCTAGGGCTTCCGTAACAAAATCCCACAGACTGGATAGCCTGAACCAGAAGTCCTCAACCTTATTGGCACCAGGGACCAGTTTCATGGAAGATAATTTTTCCATGGAAAGGGATGGGATAGGAAGCAGCTCAGGCAGGCAGTGATGCTGTGTGGCCCAGGTCTTTTTTGTTTTTTTGAGACAGAGTCTCACTTTGTTGTACCCAGTAAAGTGCTATGGCATCACAGCTCACAGCACCCACAAACTCTCGAACTCCAGCAATTCTCTTAATTCTCTTATCTCAGCTTCCCAATCTCACCCCCACCATAGGGCCTGGCTGGGGTTTTTTTGTGTTTTAGAGATAGAGTTTCACTTTGTTGCCCTCAGTAGAGTACTGTGGCGTCACAGCTCATGGCAACCTCTAGCTCGTGGGCTTAGGCGATTCTTTTGCCTCAGCCTCTTGAGTAGCTGAGACTACAGGCACCTACCACAATGCCTGGCTATTTTTTGTTGTTGTTGCTGCAGTTTGGCCAGGGCCAAAGTTTGAACCTGCCACCCGCAATATATGGGCCTGGTACCCTACTCACTGAGCCACAAACACTGCCCATGGGCCTGGCTATTTTTAAAGACAGGTCTCACTCTTGCTTAGGCTGGTCTCAAACTTGTGAGCTCAGGCAATCTACCCACCTCAGCCTCCCAGAGTGCAAGGATTATAGGAGTGAGCCGCTGTGCCTGGCCTTTGGCCTAGGTCTTAACAGACTGTGAACTGGCACCTGTCCATAACGAGGAGGATGAGAACAATGTGAGTCTTGAACAACAGAAACTCATGTTTTTGCAGTTCTGGTAGCTGGAACCTCAGATCAAGGTTCAGCAAGTTTTTTGTTTTTGAGACAGAATCTCACTATGTCGCCCTAGGTAGAATGCCGTGACTTCACAGCTCTTAGCAACCTCCAACTCTTAAGCATAAGAGATTCTCTTGCTTTAGCTTCTGGAATAGCTGGGACTACAGTCACCTGCCACAATGCCTGGCTATTTTTTGTTGCAGTTGTTATTGTTGTTTAGCAGGCCTGGGTTGAGCTCAAACCCACCAGCTTTGGTATACATGGTGGCACCCTGCTCACTGAGCTACGGACACTAAGCCTGATTTTGTTTCCTGAAGTCTTTCTTGTTGACTTGCAGAAGACCTCTGTCTCACTGAGAATTCAGATGTAAAGTCAAACAACTAACTCATTTTTGACAAACACGCCAAGAATATACAATAGAGAAAGGACAGTCTCTTTGATAAAACTGGAAAACCACATGCAGAAGAATGAAACTAGACCTCAGTCTTTTACCAATACACAAAAGTCAAATCTTGACTCCTTTTGGGGGAGGGGGAGAGACAGTCTCACTACATCATCCAGGGTTGAATGCTGTGTCATCGTAGCTCACAGAAACCTCCCAACTCTTGGGCTTAAGTGATTCTCTTGCCTCAACCTCCTATATAGCTGGGACTCTAGGCACCGAGCCCAAAATTGACTAGTTTTAAAAGACTTCCTTACCCTCTAATTTTCCTGTTTGCAAATAAGAAAACTTAAGGATATAAAGTCTTAAGAGTGTAATGGGTCTGTTCATAGCTTGATAAAGTCAAAAACTAGAACTTGAAACCTAGATGTATATGTTGTTTTCCATGTCACTGTCCTTTTCTCTGTACCATTTGATTTTAATGCAGATCTACCCATGTCCATCCCAACTCTTACAGAATAAAATAGAACCAGAAAAATAAAAAATCAGTCCGGGCACAGTGGCTCACACGCATAATCCTAGTACTCTGGGAAGTTGAGGCGGAAAGATGGTTTGAGCTCAGGAGTTTGAGACAAGCCTGAGCAAGAGCAAGATTCACGTCTCTACTAAAATAAGAAAAAATTAGTGAGGTGTTGGAGTGGGTGCCTATAGTCGCAGCTACTCCAGAGGCTGAGGCAGAAGGATCCTTAAGAGTACAGGAGTTGGCTCAGTGCCTGTGGCTCAAGTGGCTAAGGTGCTAGCCACATACACCTAAGGTGGCGGGTTCGAATCCAGCCCTGACCTGCCAAAACAACAATGACAGCTGCAACCAAAAAAAAAAAAATAGCCGGGCATTGTGGCTGGCGCCTGTGGTCCCAGCTACTTGGGAGGCTGAGGCAGGAGACTCACTTGAGCCCAGGAGTTGG